TTGTATGCGAAAACGGCTTCAATTTAAGTAATAAACTGTATAAGGTAAACGTTGGGTTTATCTAGTGAAGTTGCAAGCCTAACAATGGGCGATTAAGGCCACAGAACGGTTACTTTGTAGAAGCAGACAGTCTTACGGTCGCCGTATTGGGTCAAATAATGTGCTACTTGTGAGCCGTAGCACTTCCTACCGTCATTAAATCCTTGCCTTTTTAGAGAATTTGCAACGGCAGCTGCAACAACATTTTGCACACACGTTTCGCTTTGACTCATATGTTCAATCCGGTGGTCCCCACATTCTGAAATCTGAAATCTTACCCCCGCTTTTCTTGCTAATCGGGAGAAAATGTCACTCTTGTGATATTGATCCCCCCCCCCCCCCTTTAAGTGCATCATTCGTCGCTGCACCGATGTGAACGCCCTGTACTAGCCTGATTGGACGTTGCTCGGCTATCACTACGGCTTTTATTGTCGTCGCAGCCTTGTTAATCGATTAGCAACGTTGTGGTCTTGTGGTTGCGGTAGCGTCTCTCCCCGAGTGGCATAGCTAGTAGGGTGCTCGACTGACCGCGCCATTAAATTAGGTGTGACCCGGGAAGAACAAATCGTTTCGTTTCTCGCCAAGAAAGGGCAAGTCCGCTGAGCTCGATATCCGGTACACCATAAAGTCCGAGTGCGATAACAATCAAGCCCAGTTGTCACCGAGCTAGGTGACCGGTAAAAGCGCTCGCGCGCCGTCGTTCATCCTTTGGTGGAGGGCGCAGGGTTTTGTGGGCGATGTCAGTTGATTCGAACTCAGGGGTCTAACTTGATTAGTCGGAACTCCGCGAGAGCGAGACCTCACGCCTGTCCAGTCAGAGTTAAACCGCGAGAGGACTACCGTCTTCGCTGGACATACAAGCGCCGATCAAACTCGGTGAATCGTTGTGTTTTGTGTAAAACAAATCCACATCTGATGATATTGGGATCTGCTACACCACACAGCTCGTCAGCTGCGTAAAAAGAAAACTACATTTACCCACCAGAAGTGAATCTTGTACACTTCATCTTTCGTATATATCACATTCTGTGACAGAACTCCCTAGGCCGAAGCCCTGAAGTAAACGCAGGGGGAAACAACAACATCACCACCGGAACTCAACTATATTGTAAATAGGGCATTCAGTATGGCCTAGCGTATCTGTGAAACAGTGCATTTCAAAACGTTCGCGGTACGAGTTAATAATTCCTTAAAAACTCTTGTACCACATCTGTCCCTCGCAATCCAGCTAATGCTGGAAGAGCTTTATCGCCATTGTGCACAGTCACTATACCGAATTAGCAGCGCTGCCAAGCATTGTATAGGACCTTGTCCTCCTAAAAGGAAATTGTACTCACTTACAGCCCAGACAAACGAATACGGGCCCTCTGCTACTAACAACTAGAGCCATCCAAAAGTTCGAAAACTATGGCTTTGTAGAGCACATGCTTACGCGCCAAGAAGTATTGCGTCATTTTTAGTTTGGTGGATAGAGATACCATCAACACTTAAAACTCACTATAAGCTCGTTTTCGCGTTTCTATGAGGAAGAGGACTAAGCACCAAAGATTTGTATATCACCACCAAACATTTGGTTTATATCACCAGAGATTTGGTTGACGATCATGTGGAAATGAATCACCAGTGATTTGGAAAGCTTCACCAACGTGTAAAGTGCCAGTTATCTTCTGTAACAACAAGACTCGCTAACTCTTTTTATTCTACTTACATGCAATTGTGAGATGGTTGTTACACAGATATATGATGGAGAAGCAATTAGAATTGAGACATTTATGTGTATCGAATGCATGAAATGCCACAAAAATGGGTCCCAGAATCAAGATATGTATTATTGTGATGGTATTAGCACTTACGTCGCTTAGTATGAGTACAAGAAGCACGATGCGTACTTCTTTGCTGTGTACTGGTCGTGTG